GTAGTGAGCATAGTTTAGATAAATAACATATAAAAATTTCGCTAAGATTCATTCACTAACAAAAAAGTTATAGCTTTTTTACATGTCGGATATGAACGGTACAATGGCAGCGCAAATCGCTCATATATTTATGAAATATATATATCCGACATATATAAAAATATATATGAAACCTTTCTTGTCGTACGCAACATTCGACAAACAAGTTTGGTTTTTTGTATAAAACTCACAGCCAACCTCACCGTCCCGCATACTCGCGCAAACAATTTCAAAAATCCCGCGTGTTTATGATACCTTTCATATATCCGCCAATATATTTGATGCAACAACGGATGCCCAAGCAGAAACCTCATCTCAAGAAACATTCAGACATTCGAACATCCAATTCTGAGTGTCCAGGCAATAGGACGACATGATTTACTAGTTTCATCGAGCTTTTAATTGTACCTTGATGTACACATTTAAAGTTGTTTTATCTGTGTTTAATTTTTCATTTTTTGTGTAACCTCAACACAAGGTCAAAAGGAATTTTTTGCAACATTGTATCACATTCAAACGATACACAGTTCTTAGTTTTAGTTTTATTTAACTTTTCACTCTCTTCATTTTTCCATGCACATCTTGACTATTTTATTGTTGACCTCTGGTCTTTGATATACATCTTGTTTTTTGTCAGACAGACGAGAGAATGAAACAAACTATCAGTCAAAGAGGGACTATTCCTCTTTTCTAATTTTCTTTATTCTATTTTTATTTTCTCTCTTAAAAGAGAAAAACCTATTTCACTTCTCTCTGTTCTTTTAACTTAGCTATATACGTCATTGCAACTTTATTTTATTTTAATATTATATTCACTCTCTATCATACATATACAAACGCATGTTTTATTGTACATCATTATCATTTTCACACTTGAAAAAGCATTCGAAACCGGTCGTGTGAGTTTTTGTTATACCCACTATATCTTGAAGATATAATAAAAAATACAAGAAAAAGTTGGCACTTTCTCTGGCACACACTTCAACATAATTTCTCGAAACATTCTTGGCTTACAAAAAACTTTTAAAACGGATGATGAGACTATCTCTCTCTTTGTCGACAATCACATCAAACGGGGCAGACAACTGATGAGTCTCACTTCCTTCTTCATTTCCACCGGCAACAACTTGTTCACGTCGCACCCCATTTCCATTCCACAATACGATGATTCGATGCATCAGCGACATAGATTGTTCGATCATCATCATCAACATACAAACCCCATGGGTTTGAGAGTTGATTGATTCCATTGCCTTCTCCATTTCCTCCAGCCACAGTGAGACCATTCTGTTGCCATCGAGCATTTGGATGAATGTCAGCTGATAGTGAGAATATTGAGATGAAACAGAGCTTTGGAGTATGGATGCACACTGATTTCAATTGAATTAAGTCTCTCACTTCTTTTGAATAGAACACAACAATGGTTTGATGAGTTTTAATTTTCATTTGAAGTTAATCAACTTTATTTTTACTATTAGAAGGATGATTCCATTCGAAGTCAATCATAAAAATACAAAGGTTATCAGAACAGCTTTAAACATCGCCTGTCTTGTACAGATTTTTGTGCTGGTCATTTTGGCAATAAAATATTTTCAGATCGAAAAGATATAAAGATTTTATGGTCAAAATACTGAAGCATGTAAAATTTGAATCATCTCTTCAAGGTTTTCAGTATTTTGATGATAGCATCTTTATTTGTTGAGTGATTTGAAACATGTTTTATAGCAAAATAATCAGCGCGGAAACCTCTACAAAATACAGTATGTCTAACGCGTTTAAAATATCTTCATAGTTTTCCATTGATTAACATTCGTTTGGAAGGTGAGCATAAAAAAAGTTGATCCGTTCATTTCAAAATGGCTATATTCTATTCATATATAGCATAACAGGTTTTGTAGAGCGAAGTCGCCAAAAAAACCCTATATAAGCTTTCCCATACAGGATTGGATATCTGTTTTAAGTCGAAGTTGTCCGTCCCTTCCCTCCATTATAGACCATAGTAATCCCTTTCGCCCGAATTACATACCCTCAAAACCGGGATCGAATCATGCATATTTATAACAGCTTTTGCTGCCATTTAATTCAATGCTTATGCTAATATAATAAAAGTGTAAAACATCGAGTGAATAGTAACAATAAAAACGAAAAACAGGATGCCCGTAAGGAAACAAAGCAACATTTTTGTTCGAAATGTAGAAATAAAAAAGGCAGTGTTTGCTGACAATTGACCATCATGGGAAAAGAACTATTGTTTTTCTTTTAGAGGTTTTACAGATTGTGTATTTTGTATTAGTATAATGAAGCTAAATACGACATGTGAGTCACACATTTCAGTCCCAAAAGGTGTGCACTAACAAGCCTTTTTTTATGTAGTTATGGGTGGGGAATAATAGACTGGGATTGTAACAAAGTACTTATCTTTGTTGTCCTTTTTTAATTTTTTCTTGTGAAATTTGAACTGATACCTGTTTTGTGTTTTATCCATGATCTCCAGAAACGACAAGCAAATGCGATGGCCCACACCGGATGCAGACGATCTTTTATGTTTGTTCTCTTTTCGATGTATGCAATGATTATATTTTTCAATAGTCGATGATAAACGTAAGTAGCTTGAGTATCATTGTTCTGTTTTAAATATTTTAATACATCTTCACACGAGAAATAGTTTTGCTTATCTTTCGGATTAATATTCGTTTGCACTAAACCGTGGTCAATTTTAGAATATCCATTATCAATTATATCTTAAACATATTGCATTGTAATTGATTGTGAACAAGGACAAGATGAGCTATGGATGATAATAAACGATTTCGCCATTAGGTAGCAACATGTGTGGCATCTTAGAAAAATAAAAATCACTGGTGTGAGGGAAGAAAAAATCGTGCCCAATGTGAAGTTAAATTAACTTTAAATGCATCCGGTTTTTCATGTAGTTTAATATTTGTAAGATTGGCGAAGAAGCTACTAACCAAGCGCATGGTACTTAAGTATTTGGCATCGCCATCTATTCCAAAGCGGAGACAAAAGAATTATTAGTGATTATTCATGACTAGAAAAAATAGGATCTAAATTATAAGGAAACGCCTACGGGGAAATAGCAGATTTCAAGACTACAAGAGGCTTCGAGACTACATAAGCGTTCGAGAAACCTTAGAAATCGATCTAGGGGGTGAAGGTTGGAAGTGAGGGTAAGCGAGATATAGTGGTGTTGCCGTCGATACGTGTATTAGTGTGAGCCGAAGGCCACCATTTGATGTGATTGTCGACAAAGAGAGAGATAGTCTCATCATCTGCGATAGTTCGAATAATAAAGTGGTTCGATGGCTTCGTCGGAATGGGACAAGTGGAGAAACAATCATCTCCAACATCAATTGTCGCGGTTTGACAATGGACGAGAATCGATCTCTCTATGTCGTTGACAATGGAAAGGATGAAGTGAGACGATATCGAAGAGGAGAATCTCAAGGAATAGTGGTTGCAGGTGGTGATGAAATGGGTGGAAGGTGCAAAACAAGGCATTGTCGTGGCTGGTGATCAAGGAGAAGGAAATGGTCTTACACAATTGTCAAATCCTTGGGGAGTCGTTGTCGATCAATTGGGCACTGTCTATGTGGCTGATGTAGGAAATGATCGAATAATGCGTCACAAAAGGAAGTGTCATTGTTGGTGGAAACGGTGGAGGAGACAATCGAACCAACTCAATGCGCTCATCGGTTTGTCATTCGATCGACACGGCAATTTCTATGTCGTCGAGAACGAAAATCATGGAGTACAAAAATTCAATATTGATTCAAATGCATAACAGTTATTGAGAGTAGATCTTGATAGAATGTACGTTGTTTCATGAGAGTGATTCACCGAATAAACGAGCGTGTGGGGTATGGGCATGGGGGGAAAAGCGTATTTCTGAGTATTTCTGAAATACAGAAATAAGAAATACATAGTAATACATAGAATTGCTCTATTTTTAGCATGACTCCTATGCGGCAAATTTTATGATTCCTCCCTCCAGTGATCATTTTTTGGACACATTAATGCAAAAAATACTGTTAGCTCAATGCGGTTGCCAAAAAAAGGGTTAACGCAACAAATCTATTGCAAGGTAATACAAAAAAGGGGCAACATGATAGCAATATTTTATATTCTTATTCTTGTCTATTTGTTTCCATCACTGGCTTTAAACGATCGAATGGCAAATTATTGTTGTTCTCAGTTAGAAACCAAGATGCCGTTTGTTTGTGCATATATTTGATACCATTGTTCAGATCAATGTTAAAATAAGAATCGTTTAGATCTGAATTGATTGAATCAACAGGTCTATATGTGTATTCAAAATTTAATGTCGTATAAGTGCTTTTTTCATAGCGTATTGGCGAAAAGCCATAATCTGTTTCCTCGTTTCTTATCTCTCCGGTTGTGGTTCGTGCAGTTCGTCTATTCCTCCTCACAATTTTCTGCTTTTTCCCTCTCAAACGGTTTAACAATGAACTTTTTCCAGCATTAGTTTTACCAATTAGGCCAATTTTACATGGTACGCTGTTGAAAGCAACAGCGTTTAAATCTTTTTCAACAGCTTTGAATATATCAAGCATTTTTGGTTGAAATTCATTCCCAATACCGAGAACGGTCTCCCATTCAACTGTTTTTGAATGTAATTCAGGAAAATATTGTTCAAATTCAATTTTTTTTCTACATTCTACTAACGATTCACATAAACGAACAAATTTTGATCCGACTCTATTCGGATATGACAAAACATTTCTGTAGTTATCAACACATTTGTTCAACAAACTATAATCCTCTCTTGCTATCATTTCTATTAGCTGCTGTTCAGTTTCTATCAATGTGGATATAAGAGTATTGGCTTCAATAATTGAAACTTTTGTTTGTTCACTATCAACTGTTACGCCTACTGGATTTTGTATATATGCTTTTAGCGTTGTAGTTTCTGTTATTGATGGTGCGCTCGCTCTTAGTTCTGTATCATTGATTATGCATGAGGTATCGTGATTTGTTGATGGTACATAATTGTGTGGAACACTTAATGTTGATTTGATTGTAATATCTGGCTTTAACGTTTCAATATGTATTTTTCTACATTGGATATCAAACAACACCGATTCAGCTTTTAATTTATCTTCTTTTACTGTAGATAAATCGAGTTGATCAATACCATATTTAACATTATACTGGTTCCATAACAAATCTTCTAATATTGGACTATGTTCTGGATATTCATTTTGGTTGTATTTCAAATCACAATAGCTACACCAAAAACCTTTCTTATCATTATGTGTTTTAGCTGATTTTATACACTGATGACAATATTGTAAACCACATAGTACTTTCTGAATACATTCACATGGTAATTGATCCTCAAGAATACCAAATGATTTAAGGCAGAGACAACAATGACCCAAAACCTTTAAAAAGAAAAGGTTTGATTTGAATTTGACGCTGAAATTATTCGGAGCAACAAACAGATTCCTTCTTATTTTTCGCGCATAAAAACCGCATTGATAATACATTTTAAGGCTGAAGTCAATCAGCAGTTTGAAGCAGCACAAGCAGTCGTAACACAACTCCGTCTGATCAAGTTCTTCTTGGAATATGACTAAAAGAAGACGAACTAGTTGTTTTGAGACAGAATGGGCCGGATGAATATGAAAAGTCTTACCTCATGACTTTTAGGAGAAATGCTTTTTTGGATTAAGTTATAGCGAATGTTGCATGTGGTTTTTAACTTCTCTTCGACCATGTAAGGGTCCTTGCACACCACACTCAGAAATTTCCATCCAGGAGCGCGCAACATAGATGACATTTTCAGCCAACGTTATTCATACCAAGGTCTGGTTACGGTAAAATTTTCAGCTCTATATCTCATGTTTTCTCAGACCTACCCTAAGAAGAATGGTAAAAGTAAGAGTTTCGCCACTTACCATGTTTATCCGCTACCTTACTTAAATGCTAAAATTATTGGGTTAGTCTCAACATGTAGCCAAGAGTTAGCGCTTCAGCTTAACAACGCCAGATATTTCAATTCTATCTTAGTTTTTCGAGAAAAAAAGTTTCCGAAGATTAGCTAAACTCAGGAAACTCTTTCTGATATTTTTAAAAATGTTTTTCTCGAAAAAAAATAAGATAGAATTGAAATATCTGGCGTTGTTAAGTTGTAGCTCTTGACTACATGTTGAGACTAACTCAATAATTTTAGCATTTAACTCTTTCAGGGCTGAATAAATTTTTTTCGGTCAACACCCTAGGCTGAATATTTTTCGGTAAAAGTAGTATTTCGAGTGAGCAAACTGTAACTGGGTATTTTATTACGGCACAGCAATAGTTCTAGTCCTCTACCCCTAGATGTCGACTTTTGTCGACTCCCGCCCTCGCTCCCTGAGGTCGACTTCGGTCGACAGCTGCCTTCAAAGAGTTAAGTAAGGTAGCGGATAAACATGGTGAGTGGCGATACTCCCACTTTTACCATTCTTCTTAGAATAGCTCTGAGAAAACACAAGATATAAAGCTGAAAATTTTACCGTAACCAGACCTCGGTATGAATAACGTTGGCTGAGAATTTCATCGAGGTCGAGTGTTTCTTGTTGACGATACATTTTAGAAAAAGTGAATCGGGCCCGAGGGGTTAATCTTAAACTCTAAATTTTAAACAGTTCTTTTGACTATAAAAGGCCTGCAATTTTCAAGCTCTAGCGAAATCAGGTTCTAGAAATTGATACCGCGTAGGGCAGAAGAAACCGATCTCTTTGAAGTTTATCCGCAGTCCTCACGTTCTAAAATTCACCTGTTTTCTGCAAAAGATTCATCCTTTAATTCTTTACAAAGTGGTATATAGAAGATGATCCTTAGACTTGATGCAGTCTTAAGCTTAAATGTATGTGTTGTGCTCAATCGAACAGATCAGAATGTAGTCCGTGGAGTTCTCTATCGAATGGCTATAATGCTAATTTAACCAATAGGTTGGATGGCGATATTGACTAATGATAGAGTGTTGTCGTGTGTGTGTTTATTACTCCAGTTGATTTTTGAAATTTTTATTAACAAATACAAAGGAGAGAAATCTGATGTAGAATGTTGAAGTGCTTTCGAATTTCTTCGTCAGCGGCAAACAAATGTAATATACAAGTGTATATGTTACAGTGGAAATTAAAATTCAGTGGAATTTAGAATTCCACTAGTGGAGTTTAAAATTTCAATTTCCACTGACAAGAATCCAGTGGAAATTGAAATTTTAAGTTCAACTAGTGGAGAATAAAATTTTGCCATGAACGTGCCATGAACGCCCATGAGAATTTAGTAAAGTGATCTTTCACATGTAAAATCCACTTGTATTCTCCGTCTGGTATACATCTCATGTCGATCAAGTCGACTTTTGAAAACCTACTTCAGCCCAAGTTTTATCACGCCCGAAATGTCCAACACGTTCATGGCATTCTTTGACTTTTCTGAACAGTTGTTCATATGTAACAACAGGTTGATTAACTTTCATACCATA